GCACTATGACATATTTCTGAACATCCCCATGCACATATCTGACCTCCACCCATTCTACCTCCAGCAAGGTTCCTGGTTAACCCAGGGTTTGGTGGAGCATGGTCTTCATGCAGCCCATGTCTGGAACATTGTTCCTCCTGGACCTGGGAGAGAGTGTTGGAGCCTCAGTGATACGGGAAGCCTAGCCCACCTCCATCAATGGACACTCCCGTCACTGGTGTCCCAGCCGCCCACATCTCCAACACTTCTGTCTCTGTGTCTGTGTGGCCCTACGTGGGTCGCATGCAGTGCCTACCGCCACCAGAACCTGGGGAGGCAGATCGGGGAGAAAGGGGCTAGTGGGCCTTAGCTGCAGCAGCTGTTCTGTCACTGAAAGATTTAGAGCATGATTACTGGATGGGTTTCAGCTGCCCTTCCAGCCTCCCTGGCACTGCTCCTCAAGCCTGCAGCACGTTTAAAGTAAAAACCTTACATTTTGTAAAATGGATCGAATTTAAAAGAAAGAAAACAGTTTGCTGTTCAGATTTTTCAGTTGTAAGTTATCAAGCTCTCAAAAATAAAACTGCATTAGGATAACATTTTTGATATTTAGACAGAACTCATTTCTACCAAATCCAGCCTTAAGGTATTTTTAATAATGATTCCTAGAAAAATGCATACACTATTGGGCTTAGAGCCACAAATCGACCACGCCCAAAAAAGTGCTATAAAAAATTTATATATTAATATTTTATTCCACTTTAAATTAGCCAATCTTTTAGACCTACTTCTCCTTGAAATATTCATGTCAAGTTTTAATTACATTTCGCGGATTTTAACCCTTTATATCCCGGTTTCGTCACATGAGCGCACTGCTTTTTTTGCCCCAAAAAATATAAAACTTGAATATTTTCCAAAAAAAACATTTGAGGTAATATTCAATTGTTATTATAATTAGGCCTTTAGATGGACTAAAGATTGGCACCAACATTCATTTCGATCGCCTTTTATTTTTTTTTTCAGGACCAGAAAATGGTCTCCAGGCGGCAAATGCTCCTCCTCTAGGCCGAAATAAGTGCATGTTGCCGGGGTAAGTCGCGACGATTACCGGGGCACGATCACCGGGGACCCGTTTTTCCAGCACACACGCTCGATACCACGTGACAACAAATACGTCATTTCCTGTTGACTAAAAAAAAAAAAAAAAGCACCCTCTAACGGTCCTAGGGACCAAAAAATGGTCCCGCCCGATCAGCGGGCGAAGCCGCTGCTGCACGCCGGAAATGAGGCTTCGTTTCCCGCAGGTCTGTTTAAGCAGCCCGCTGTTTTCCAGCCCGGGGTCAAATGTGGAGCAAGGGCGCCACCCGGTGGACAAATAAAAAAATTACAACTCTAAGGCCCGTCCTGCAAAATGAAAATGAAAGCTAAACATCAACGATCCCTTTGACCGTAATTAATTTGCAGTGAAAAATAGCGTTTATAATGGGTTTCAATGGGGCACAAATCGACCACTAAGCACAATAGTGTAAGTTTGTCTGTAGCTTAGCCACTGAAGCTAATTGAAGGAAGTCAGACTTGAATTTTGAAATAAAATCATATCAAACTTTTTTTTGGAGAATTTGGCTATAGTCCATTCAACACTGTGCAAATGGCATGTAATCAAAATTTGAAAATAGCCACAAATCGACCCAAGACCCTCCATTAATGGCCTAAAATTTTTGTATAAAGCACGAAATATGATGTTAATCAATGACATGATATGTCATTGAGGCATGAGGGCATCTCTTGACTTAATTGTGAAATAGTTTTGAACCAATAGCACGTACAAACTCCAAAACACAACGGAAATGCTCCAGGATCCTATTGGCTACACAAGCCAGGAAGTACCAACGACCGATTTGGTGTGTGGTAGTAACAGGTAAATGAACTTTTTTTTAAATTATTTGAATATATATATATGAGTGCTTGTGTATAAATACACAAATAATACACATATGCTTTCAATTGTGTAATTTAAGTGATCTAGGTAGCTCTGTGTGGAAGTTCAGTTAATGCTGGAAATGTGTTTTGGAGTTTGTACGTGTTTTGTCTCTAGGGGCCACTGTACTTTTATTTATTCACTCTACATAAAATGTAATAAATAAATTATGAAATATAAAAACCAACTATTTACATTTCAACTTTTAACTAGAGATGGCACGATACCACTTTTTTATGTCTGATACCGATATGAATCCGATATAGTGTTTTTTAATCAATAAAACTGTTTTTTAAATATCTTGCTGCATTTTGTATAAGTTCATACTCAAGTTTAAATAAACAACAACACTAAAGCTATTCTGTTATACCTGTGTGTGAAAAACACACTGCACCCAAAATATTTCATAGTTCAGCAAAACTGATCAATCTAACAAACTTAAACCTGCTCCAGCCTCCCTACTCTGGTATTTTAAAGAGTACTTAGCAGAAATATTAAACAACCTAACTAACAGGGCTGCAAACTCCCAGCAAAAAAATAAAATAAAAAACATAGTGAACCCCCCCACCGTCCACCTCATGGTGCTTAATCGACGTAATCAACTTGATGCAGCGTGAAAAAAATGCACAGAAATAAATTATTTTTCAAGAATAATTAAATAGATTCAACATCTTTCTTCAACAGAACTGCAGACTGCACAGATGGTTCCCAAAGTAAAAAGTACTACAGCTTACTAGGGTATATTAGACTTAACAGTTACTATATACAGTGATGGACTTCTATACATTTTACATCAGATTAAAACTTTGGGTGTCAGATAATTATTTATTAAAAGCTCGACATTTTAAATGAGAATAAGAAAGAAGAGTATGTCTTTGTGCCCCCTTTTCCCTGTTCATGCCCTATCGGCCCCCCTGGCTAAACTTTAGTAGATCCGCCCCTGCACAGTTACAGCCGTCAGCTGTAGAAAAAGATCCTCGAGTAGAAAGTAATATTAAATACATTCTAACAACAGCTGATCAAGCTTAAACTTGCTGCTGTTGTTCAGCCGCTGGTTTCCTCTTTCTGCTGCAAAGTGGACCAAAAACAAACAAGAGAGACGATCAGCTGATCATTGAGCAGTTTCAAAGTAGCAGCAGGAGAGAGAGAGAGAGAGAGAGAGAGAGAGAGAGAGAGAGAGAGAGAGGCAGTCGCTCCATATATCGGTGTTTAAACTTAACGCTGGAATGCTTTACAAACATTCAGAGATGGACTTGCACACTTGCTTTACTTCTCTCTGGGATCACTTCCTCGGAGATGAAATGCTGAGGCTACAAACACACACAGCTGCTCTATCACGTGACCACACTGCTGCGACGAGCTACGGTTATGAGCAGAGTTACCCGTGTGGGAAGTTTTGTGAGGTGCTTTTTTGATATTTAATGGATCGATTACATTTTTTATTTCTCTCCGCTATTCGATCCAGTGATTTAGGTCAGTATCAGACCGACACGATACGTAATATCGGCTCGGTCCATCTCTACTTTTAACTATTTCAATTTTCAGCTTTTTCATTTGAAACGAATTTAAAGTGAAACAACACAACACACTGCAAACAACAACACAACTAAATATAAATTAAAACTGTGGGGAAATGGCAGATCACAGACACATATTCTGGTCCTGCCCATCCATACGACTCTTTTGGTTGGAAGTTTCAAAAATAATACCAAAAGCACTGGGCTTTAATGTGAGCTGTACATTTGTATCATTGTATCTGAGATGTTTTGCAGAAGATTTAGTTACAGATGATGTCTATCTCCTGAGAATTCTTTTGGCATCTGCGAGAAAGGCTATAACAACGCGCTGGCTTTGTAAAGATCCTCCCACTATAAGTCTTTTTATTTCTATAGTGGAAAACATCAGATTGATGGAATGTATGACTTTTACCCTGCGAATTCAGGGGGGCTTGGGAAGGAGACGGAGAAAATGGCTGGGCTCTACAAACTGTGGCAGCATTCTTTAATGCATAGAACTTACAATACTATAGTATTTATGTATGTATGTGCATGTATTTGTCTTCCAATGACCTCATAATATTTTGTTTGTCTGGGTTTTTTCTTTCCTTTTGTTGTATAAAAATGTTTCTAAATAAAAAGTAATCATGTTGCATTTTTCCAGAATTTCTGAGCGTAGCAAAAAGTCCATCTCATGGCCTCTCCAATGTCCATCAAGTCCCCAAGTTTTGCTTCACCAACCACTGAAGTTACCCACCTCCTAACCCCCCTAGTAACAGTCTATCTACCAGACCACATCACTTCATACCTTTACAGTCGGTGTCAGCAGTAAGAGAGAAGGGATGATGATACTGGAACACGTCCATCCCCAAGTTTCTAACATGGTTGCTTTGGGTTGTTTTTGGCCCTGTTCTTCTCCATGTTGCAGCTGAAATACGATTCAAAGATAGGATTTGAAGACAGAGGCCTCAACCAATATGTTCTCCCTACAATCGCATAAAGTTGGTGTTGTGTGTCAGTGTGTGGCTGGCAGTGTGGACCTAAACATGAAGATTGACTTTTCCACAGGGGCAAGATTAGGACAGAAGACACAGGGACATGACTGGAGGGACAGGCAGGGATACAAAATAAACTTAGACCAGAACTAGACAAGAAACAACATTTTAAACTATGAGTAAATAAAGAAAAAAAGAAAAACATAGCAAGTAACCAAAACATCAAAGCACTAGGCCCAAAACAGAGAGATCCTAACAGCCGGGTTTACGAGGGATTTGTGAAACGTCTGATCCAGCTCAGCAAATATTCAAGATTCAAATATGTGTGTGGATAATCTGTCAAGATGGGTGGGCTGACAGAGGCCACAATGGGAAAACTGCTATGAGTTTAAATGTGGGGCCCATAGCAGTTTGGGCCTTTTTGGCCCCGGAGGGAAATTCTTTGGGCACCCTCAAAGGAGTTTGGCCCACTGTTGATGTAGTACTTGTACCTTTATAGTTTTATTACTTTTTAAGCTTTTTCTCTTGCCTTTCCTGTCTTTGTTCCTGCAGACTCTGTCAGGCTGCTGAACGGTTCCAGTCTGTGTTCAGGCGGACTGCAGGTGAAGTCTAACCAGAGATGGTCCTCAGTGTGTGAAGATGACTTTGACCTGCAGGATGCAGAGGTGGTCTGCAGGGAGCTTGGCTGTGGGCCTCCTTCGCTCCTCCAGGGGGCGCTCTATGGAGAAGCGGAGGCTCCAGTGTGGAGCAGAGAGTTCCAGTGTGGAGGCCATGAGTCTGCTCTCCTGGACTGTAGAAGCTCAGGCTCAGCTAGAAGCAGCTGCTCACCTGGCAAAGCTGCTGGACTCACCTGCTCAGGTAGAAGAGGAGCTGCAGCTTTGGTTCAAACTCACTTTGTTCTTTCACTGATGACTCTCCGCTTTCTGTCAGAGCCTGTCAGGTTGGTGGGAGGAGCCAGTCGCTGTGCAGGTACACTGGAGGTGAAACAGAGACTGTGGAGATCTGTGGAGGCCTCAGGCTGGACCCTGACGGATGCAGCTGTAGCCTGCAGAGAGCTGGACTGTGGCTCTGCTGTTTTAACAGGAAGGAGAAATGCATCCTGGGATGGACCAACGTGGAAGATCAAACCTGACTGTGTTAAATCTGGATCTACACTGAGGGAGTGTGCCACATCATCCCAGTCATCCACCGTCCTGGAGCTCATCTGCTCAGGTAAGAGACTTGCTGTGAGCCAACGGAGTTTAACATTGAACGAGTCGAGTAAAGTTCAGCCAATCACCTCTCTGTTTACAGACCTGCTGGTTCAGCCAATCATCTCAGCGTCCTTCTCGTCCAATGACGGGCACTCCCAGGTCCAGCAGCAGGAGTCTTCTTGGGTGTTCAAAGGCTCCAGCTTCACCATCAGCTGCTCCATCCAACCTCAGTACCCAGGAGGCTCTTTCCAGCTCACCTTCACCTCCTCCAATACCACCAACAACTACACCCTGCCAGCTGTCAATCACTCTGCCCACTTCCTGTTCACTGCTGCAGAGCCCGCCCACCAAGGAACCTACAGCTGTGTTTATCACGTCTTTGTGTTTTCTCATAACTTCTCCTCCGAGAGCCGTCAGCTGTCTCTCACTGTCTCAGGTGAGCTGAAGCAGAGTGGAGCTCAGGTATGAAACAGCAGCAGGTCCCACCTGACGTAGGCTCAGATGGAGTCAGAGATGTAGGCGGGGCCTACCTGATGTTTGTGTTTGATGCCAGCTGTTGTTCTCCTAACATCTAATGTGACGGCTGAGTGTGTCTCTTCAGATCCAACAGTGTTTGTCATCAGACTGCTGCTCCTGCTGCTGCTCCTGCTGCTCTTCATCTCTGCCGTCTGTTTCAGCCATAAGGTACCGTGCACACGTCTGCTGATCAGAAGACGCTCTGGAACGAAGCTCTCGGCCCGTTTGAAGAGAGCGGCGACTCGCTGACTCACACCTGTGTGCTGCTGTGTCTCTGCAGGTCACCGGGAGGCAGGAGCCCCGCCCACAGGAGGACCCGGAGCTGGATGGTTAAAGCTGGCAGTGTCCAGAAAAGCAGGCAGCTCAGCAGCGCCTCCACATGGTGGAGGAAGTGTTTGCATCCTTCACCACCGTGTGAACATGAACTGCAACCACAGTATCACTTATACTTTTGCTTATGCTGTGTCATGATGGTTGTGATTATAAGTTTTGTATTCATATTATATTGTTAAGAACAAAAAGTTTAACGTTTGATGGTATCGGGCACGTCGGGCACGTGTGAGCTGGTGTTGGGGCTGGACAGGTGAACTAAACCTTTTAAGCTGGAGCTCACCACAGGACACTGTGCTCAATAAGTTCATTCTCAGCATGACAGCAAAGACGTTCCCCTGGAGCTGTCCGATCCATCCACCAAACATGGTCCCACTTTCTGCTCGCTACTTCAGCATGCATGTTTGATTACAGTGCTTTGTCTGTAGGTTACATATTAATGTCATTTTTACTTGTCCATACAAGAGCCAGGAGTCATAAAGATAGTGTCCTCCATCAGCATCTCACAGCACGTTGTGCAAAGCTTTTGCAGCATCAGCCTCAATAAAACATTTCCAGCTGGAAGGTTTCCTGAGAGATGCTCTGCAGTAACCATCTCCTCATGAGCTCGGTGTGAGGTGACCCTTCTCCAGGTACTCGCTGGTGTTCTGGTTAAGCTCATCAGCAAAAAGCTGAATAAAGCCATCTTTGCACACGGGCCTGGTCGTACAGTTGGAGCATACACAGTTTGCTCGGTGATCATTACTAGACAACTCCTCACAGTCAGATCCAAACAGTGTGGGATCAACCCGCCAGAACAAAAGGCAGAAACAGCCAAAGGTTGGAGAAGTATCCAAGTATAATGTTAACTCTGCTTTAACCTTGCAAATATGCAAGTGAAACGTATGAGACAGTAAGTTGATGGATGTGGGCGTTACTCTGATCAGCTGTTTGGGCCGAGTTCCAACGTTTACTTCCTGCAGGTGTGCACAAGCTGCACCCGCTGTGCTTTAAACCTACTGAAGCAGAGTAAGGATAAACCAGCACAAACTGTTTGTGCGTCATCACCATCGTGTCTGTTAGCTAATCATCCACCTGCTGTAATCTGGTTTTTAGTTTGTTTTCTCCGTAGTTCAGTTTCAGTTGGTCTCCAGGTTAGCTTTACCGTTTATTTTAGTATTCCTCCATCTAAGATGTGGGTTTAGCTCGGACATGAAACCAACACTTCACTGGGAGCTGCAGAGCTCAGAGAGGGAACTGCTGACGCAGCTGTGATGAGCTTCTCCTCTCAAACAAATGCATCTGATACAAACAGTGTATATTAAGAAAATCTTTATTAGAAGCGTCCAGTATGAAACCACAGATTAAAAACAAATTAACCTGAAGACAAAATGAGAACATTACAGCAGCTGGATTTCACAGGTTCAAACGTTTCAGTCGGTCTGTGCAAAAAAAGCTCAAACTCCCTTTTAAACGATTCTGCTCGAGCGGGAACGTCGCCTGCTTTTCCAGGAGACAGTAAACGCGTCGCTGTGGATCGGCGCCGTTTCCAGGACCGTTCATGTGCTGCATCAACATGGCAGCTCGTCCACGGGTCGCCCTGTGAGAACGCCTGAGCTCAGAGTACAGACGCTCGAGGGACCAATAAAAGACAAAACAGGAAAGCCAACAGGACGTCAAACAAAAACACAGAAATATTAACTATTGACAGAAATGACACACTGTTGTTTTTCCACAGGAAACACTGATCACTTCCAGATGGAAATGTCTGTGGCGAGTGGCGAGGGCAGGAGGCGAGTCTGAACCAGAGCTACGATGTCCTCTGCGCTGCCTCCACCCCGCTCGCGATTCTAATAGTTCGACTGTATGAGCGCGCTCAGACGTCGCCGGGCGTCCCGTGTACCCTGAAGCGGTACATGCAGGTGTACTCCTCGTGGCCCCAGTTAGATAAAACCTGGACCTCGATGATCTGAAAGGCTTCGCCGTTCTCCTCCTGACGGGACAAAACAGAGACAGGAAAAGGCAGCGACATCGCATGTTTGAGAACTTCAGGCAACAAACTCGTTTTCTGCCTCGAAGGAGAAAAAACTTTAAATTTGGATCAATAACTCTGCTCATCTCAGCAGCCGCTCTGCAAAACTAACCCCCAACCTGCCTGTGATCATTTGTTTGTGGTTTTTTCCATTGATGGGGCGAGTGTCCAGATTTAGATCTGTGAGGTCATATTTTGCAGTCATGTGAGCATGAGTCATGTGACAGTCTCGCCGTCTCGTTCGTGCGGTTTTAAAAACAAGAACAAATTTAAAGAGACAAAGTGAAGCAGCTGGTATCTGACAGGCTTCTGTCGCCCTCTGAGGCTGAGTGTTAACGACTGTGACAGACTGGCTCGCCAACATTAAGGAAGGCTAAAACCACAAGCCCCGCCCCACGACTCACTGAAACAGCAAATGTCTGGAGAGCGTCTCCATCCTGGTCGTAGGTGTAGGTGCCGAGCAGCTTGCCTCGCTCCTGGCTCTCGTTAGCCAGACCCTGAAAGAGCGTTCAGGTTACACAGAGACTACAGAGCAGCAGGTTTATGAACGCACGCCATCGCTCTCTTACGTAGACGGCGAAGTCTCGGGGGGCGCTGTGCAGCGTCCCGCTCGGGGCCAGGGCTTTGGGGATGTGCTCGAGGGTGAAGGCCGAGGGCAGGACCCTCATGGAGAGCCGGATCACCAGGAAGCCCGTGGAGCCTCTGAAGGCCCAGCAGTTCCCCGGGTGGACGTCGGGCTGCAGCAGAGAGCACAGATCAGGTGATTTCTGATTCATCAGTCTGAGCAAAAACATCTGGAGGAGCGCTGAGAGGAGGACAAAGTCCTATCACAGAGTCAAAGACGAGAAAGAGGAGGGGCTTCATATCATAACCACATGACTGTACGGGTGAGTTACCTGGATCACAGCTCGGGGAGACTGAGATAAATAACAGAGCGGGACTCCGAACAGGCTGAGCAGCGCCGCCTTCGTCTCGTACGTCTCCGAGCAGCGAGTGCTCAGGATGCTGCCCCCTGCGGGACGAGCACAGAAGCCACACTGGGTAAACCATTACAGCAGGTTCATGACATCACAGACGTCGCTGTTGGATTCTGACCTCCAGACTCCAGAGCGTAGTCCGCCAGGCCGGTTCGATCCTCAGAAAACAGCCGCAGAGCGTCCTTCACCGCCGCACGGACATCCTGAGGACACGAGGGAGGCGTGAGTGGCGATTTTTACAGCGTGAATAAGGTCATTACTCAGAAGGTTAGACAGGTTTATCAAACTCATCCTCAGGTGGTAAATTTAGGCCCGCCTCTGACCGCGCCTCCTCACCTCCTGGGTGACTGTGGCCCCGACGCCCTCAGCAGCATGCAGGACAGGCTCTCTGACCGTCTCCTCGCCGCGCCGCTGCTCCAGCTGCAGGCTGATGTTCTGTAGGATGCTGAGCTCCAGAGAGGCCAGCGCCGCCTGCAGGTCCGCCTCGCTCACATAGCGCTCAGAGAGCCACCGGAGGAGCGACTCTGGGAGGGCGGCGGCGTCTCCGCCCGCTGTTAGCTGGTTGCTGAAGAGCAGTGCCCGAACTTCCTCTCGCACCTGAGCAGAGACCTGCCCCAAAATCTACAGAAAAAGGACAGTCAGAACAGGAAACTGGTCCTTCACATTAAAAGCAACCATTCAGTGAGGCTTTTATTGTGAAGGAGACCGTTAAAATGAGTGTCTCACCGCCTGCTGGATTGTGGCGAGCTGTTGGCAGCTGTCCTGACATCTGGACAGAAGCTTGACGTCCCGCCTGACGTCCCCCAGAGCCGCCTCCAACCGAACCACCTCCGCTAGCAAGGCATCATGGGACTGCCGGTCAACACTGGAGGAGGAAAAAGACACGTCAGCCACGAAGGAGTCGCACCAGCATCAGCAGCTGCTTCTCTTTGGTCCAGATAAACCTACTGAAGAAGGTGATGATGACGAAGGTTACCTGACAGCAGCAGGAAGTGTGGTCGGCGAGGGCGAGAGGAGAGATCCAGCAGCTTCACGTCTCCACTGAACCTCCTGCAGTTTTAGTGAAGCAGTTTTATTTCTGAAGCTTTTACAGGTGAAACGCCAAGCTCGTCTCAGGTCATGTGACTCACCATCGTTTTGGCCACCAGTTTCTGCAGCTGCAGCTCGAGCTGATCCAGACGAGACGTCTGCGTCTGCTGCTGCAACAAATCCTGCCGGCGAACCTGCAAACACGAGACAGATGTTTCAGTAACGTGCAGTTCCTCCGGCGTCCAGCGGGGGCCCCGGTGAGTCCGTGTTAAACGTTCACAGCACGATACAGAAACTGTTCTGGTCTCTGGATAATGGCCTCCATCACATCTGCATTTTATAACCGTTTAAATTGTAGTAAGGGTTATAGTTTGTATCATTAGGGGCGTGGCCTATTTGACTGACAGGTGGATGGTGCTACTGCTGTGTGCTAGCTTCAGCTCAGCTAACTGCAGTGACGGTGCTGCAGATCCTCACCTCCTCCCTCTGCCACCTCTCCTCGTCCAGCTGTTTCCTGAGCTCGGACAGCTGCTGGTCCAGCAGAGCGCTCAGCGACGCCTCCACGCCGTCGCGCTGAGCAGACGAGAGCTGCTGCAGGCCGGTGTAGAGCCGGAGCAGCTCTCTGTGTCTCTGCTCCGCCCGCCGTCCTCCGGCCTCCACGCGCTCCCACAGCACCATCAGACTCTGCTCCAGACGAATGAGCCGCTCAGCATCTTCTGCCGCCGCCCCCACTTCCTGTAACAACCACATTCGTAAACTTCCAGGATGCATGTTAGTTTATCCTAACCTGTCGCCGGCCTCAGGCACGTGTTTTGTTGCAGTTTTTTTTTCCCCCCATAAACATGCGTCACTCCAGGGCCGCCACAAACGATTATTTTGATAGTCGACTAATCAGATCATCATCCACTGGACGTACAACTACAGCTTATTGCACCAGCAGCATCTGGTCTCATATAACTATCATTAGCTTACAGCTGTAAGTGTTTATTTTTAGTTAGCACATAACTTAAAGACAAGATGATAGTTTATTACATTTTAATGCAATGTGCAGATTGTTTCGGTGAAGTTTAATAAACTCCTTGCTATCTAAAATATAACAGGACACCGGAGTAAATTCTCCAGCATCTCACACTTCTGATAATCAGCTGTCTGCTTGACGTTTATTCAGCTGTGTAAAAACTATAACTTTAATCTCAGCCAAACCGATTTACTCAGGAACAAATAAAATACTGAAAAAAGCCAAACAATAACATTTTTAAGTTATCTAAGTGACTCATATATCATGTTTAACCTGAGTAGTGAAAGATGGCGGTGGGTTTGAAAACAATTTGCTGGGAGTCCGGTGTTCTCACGGCGCTAGTGAGCCTCGCCCCCGGCTAGCTATCGAGCTAGTGGGTAACAGACTTCTCCGAAAACGTCGGAGCGCTTTTGAAAATATGTGGTGTCCTGATAAACTGAGCAGATATTTGAGGTTTACACAGCTACATTCTCGCCTGAAAATATGTTAAACGTTTATT